GGGTGGGACAGACAGACAGACAGGTGTGCGGGGTAGGCATAAGACGGCGAGGCGTTGGATTCATCTTTTATAGTGGGCACATTTATCAATGGCGGGGCTCTTGGGGTTATTTCTAGCAACAGTCGAGCTTCTACTTTTTTTTATCTTTGACCTCATCTTAGCGAGGGTTCTCAACACTCTGAAGTTGGACCACCCGGAGCTGGAGGAATGTGCGCCGGAGGACTTGCCTGATTTGGACCCCGCCGCCATCGTTGACACACTGCGGCATAATCTTGAGGAGTTATACGACCACCAGCATCGACGCTTTACTGGCGACACGAAGGAATACACGTCATTTAACGAAACGAACGTTGAATTTGCACCGGTACCACCACCGCCTCCATGCAACCGAGAGAAGATCCTGCATGGCATCATTTTGGTGTGCGGCCCGGCGGCACCACTCTTTACATTTTTGCAGTTTTTGTTTCCCACTGCATTTGGCTGGTGTCGCTTTCTATTGCCGGTGTGGATGCAATACGCTGCCCTCATTCCCGGGTTGGCAGCCGTCTTTGTGTTTGCGGCCCGCACGACACACGTGGCGCAATACTCCGATGTTAGTAAACAGCAGTGGATTCTACTCATGTGGTTTCGCCTGGATTTCATGTGCATCATGAGTGTGGTGGCCCTTTGTGGTGCCGGTGCGTGGCTGGTCGCAGGGTGTATGTTTGCCGTTGCTCTTTATCTGGCCCACCGTGTCATGCGCATTGAGAAGCGCCTGGCCCACCTCACACATGAGACGCAGCTGGTACGGGGCGAAGTGGACATTGAGCACGTCTATCTGCCAGGGAGTGAGCAGGCCGAGCGGGCATTGGCATCCTCGGATGTGCAAGGGTACAACGCTCTCAAGTAATCCTCAGGCTGACGACTCAGTAACCAAACTGCAAGGCATTTGCGGTGGATGTAGGGCGCGAGACGTTATTATTATTAATAATAATAATAATATGATTATTATTTGGTTGGTTGTTTGTTTATGGAGAGCCGCGATTGTTATTATTTGTGCATGAATACGCACTTATTCTTCTAGGGAACAAAACGAATAACTCCGTGCGACCCGCAATGACAAACATGTGCCTCTTCTCTTTTTTTTTTCCTTTTTTTTTTGCCTTCCTGCATGTACTGTGCGGCGTGCTGTTTGTGAGGGGTGCTGCGGTGCAGTACGCAGACATCCTTCCCATCCTTGTTTGCCGTTGCTGCATGCTGGGGTGCGTAGTGCGTGCGGGATTCTGGCCAATCGCTCTTGCTGTTAGGGGTTTCCGTCACACGCATGCTACGTCGCACGCTGCAATTTCTTCTGGAGCAGGAAAGGCCATTCACACTGAGGCGGGCGGTGATGGCGAAGGCTCGTCCCAGTCACAGTAGCCCCGGCACGAAGAAAGGAGGCACCCCGGACATACGCCAAAATGGCCACACGGGGGAGTTTCACGATGATGCTGTCGCCATGATTGCGCAAATGGTCCCGAATGCAGTGTCACCACCACCACCAAAGTCGTCCGGAGCCCTGCAACCGTCGAAGGACCAGCAACACGGAGACGCCTCGGAAGACGCGTACCGGTTCCTGCTGCATCACATCGACTCCGAAATTGCGGCACTGAAGCGTCGCATCACGACCGTGGCGAAACAGCGGGAGACGGTGGAGAATAATCAGAGCCGCCGCATCCGTGAGCTCTTCGAGTGCATCGAGCGGCCGTGGCTGCTGCTCGAGTCCATACCCGCCCCACAGCTGCCCAACAAGGCGCTCGAGGTGTACGCAAAGGAGTTGTACTTTAAACAGCACGGGGCTGACGCAGGGAATTGTGAGCAAGACGCCGTCTTTTTGGATGCGTGTCGGCGGAACTGGCGGGGCTTGGCGACTGCGCAGCGGAAGCCGTACGAAATTGCCGCGCGGCGAAACGAGCACCTGCGAAAGGAGCTGAAGAAAAAGATCTCTAACGGCTGCTCCCACTTCGAGAGCTTCTGCGAGGAGCTGAAGGAGTGGACGGCTGCAATGGCGCGTAACGAGATGAAGCCTCTTAGCAGCAGCCAGGCCTCACCGCGAGGCAGCACTCCGCTGGCACAAAAGGCGACCAAGTCGCCGGCCATGACAACTCGCAAGGCGTCAGCTTCAACGCCAGCGAACGTGGCTGCAACTCAAGCGGCAGTTGCGGTCTCATCGCCAAAAGGGGGCCGGACATTAACGAAACGAAACTCACAGGCGGAGCGAAGGGGGCCCACGCGCAAAAAGGCTCTGAAAAATACAACGGCTACCCCCACACGTGTCGCTGCCGTGCGGCAACGGCGGCAAAAACCCAAATTGAATAGAGCGCATAGAGCGAAGGCGCAAGTCGCGAAAAGTTCAGCGACGAAAAGGAAGAATCAAAGCCCCAGATGAAATGCAGCGTCGGTGGAACCCATTTCCAAAAGAACAAAAAAAAAAAACGGGAAGAAAATTAAAAAAAGGGGGAAAAATTAGGTGGCGGAAATAAAGTCGATGCTTCTGGGCCTGCGGACTGGCGGCATTTGTGTAGCACCACCACGGCCATAGAAATTTTATACATTTGGGCAGTAACGAAGAGAAAAAAAAAGAGAACGAGTACTCCTGGATTGTTTTTTCTTCCCCACTTTTTTTTTGCCCTTGTCGTTTTGGTGACATTTCGCTGCAGATTTGCTTTTTGTCCTTTAATCCATTTTTAGATTTCTGTTTGCTTTATTTCTTTGTTTGTGTGGTTGTTTTACATTGTTGCGTCTCTCTTCGTTGTTGATTCTTTTTTGATGCTTTTACGATCCACTGGGGTACGAAACACTAGGCCCATACATAGACACATACATATTCTTTCGGACCGAAACCCAGTGCGAGAAGAAGAGCAAGTCTGTGCCTGTGTGTGTGTGTGTGGCCGACAGATAGGAGGAGACACCACGAACAACGGTGAGGAAATCAAAAGAGTCCTGCAATAATTTACACTCCGAGTTGGGAGGGAAAGGTGTATATCAAATAAAGTAACGGCAACTGCACAGTGGCCGGCTGCGTGCCTCTGACCACTAGTTGTGCGTATCGTCCGTGTTTCACCGCTCTTGTGGGTCTCCGTAATTACGGAGGGGTTGTTGGTTGTCGTACATATTTTATTTTATTTTATTTACTTTTTTTTTGTGTGTGTTTGTGTTTTCGTGTTTGTTGTCGGCACGCGGATGGATTTTGTCCCGCTTGCGAGTTTTGAGTTTCTGAACTCCCTTCTTCAGGGCGTGGAGGCGCAAGGATGCCTTATGACTGTGCGGTTGGAGGCCTTCACGTGCCGCAGCACCCGCAAGAAGAAACAGCTAGCAGCCTCTATGGCGCATTACGCGAACGCGAACACCCCGCCACTTGCCCCCGCCTCGCACGCAGGCCTGTCGCCACCGCCGCTTCAGTTGGACCGCAGATTGCCCGTTGTTTTTGCGCCTGTTGACCCCGAGGACATTGATGATAGGCTTGTATACCTCGTGGCTGCCTTGAACAGCATCTACGGTGAAGACGGGTACGATTTCTCGGTCCTCACTGAGGAGGACTTTGTTGTCTGCAACGAGGCGCAGGTGCGGGCCGAGGTGGATGTGACGCTGCACTCCATGTCAGACTCGTGTCGCCCGGCGGTGGAGCAGTTCTGGACGCTTGTGAGCGAGCAGGTCATGGATGCAAGCCCAGGGTGCGAGTACTTTCGCTTCATGTGCCCCACCTGCGATCCCATGGTGTCGCGGTCACTCTTTTCGCAACACTACTTTCTTTACATAGGCGGAGTCGGCTGCTTGTGTCTCTACTCATATTTGCCGAGGGCAACGCGTACCGCGGCGACGATGGTGTTATTGTGGGGAATGGTTTTTACGTGGAACGTGACGATGCAGACACGGATGAGGGAAACAACAGTAGCAGGGGGGCGTGGCAAAGCAGCCCCGAGCCATTATCGTCGGACGACGGTGTAGGTGGAAAAAATCTCCACTACTACTACGGCCACTGAGATGTGTCGACATTTATATTTTGGATGCGGAGAATGCAACGTGTGGAATATGTGAAATAAGGAGGTTTAGGGCGGGAGGAGTGGGCGAAGAAAGGAGAGGATCGGTCGTATAGAAGAGGAGGGCATATGACATGGTGGATGAAGGGTATCGTCCAGGTGTGGGTTGGAGTGAGGAAGAGGAATTGGTGGAGCGTACGTTGTGAGGCGGACGAAGGGTTCTTCCAAAGGGCCCATTGGGTTTTACTGCTATTTTTAGTTGTGTTGTTAGACACTCTTCTTTTATACGTGCGTGCATATAGAAGTTTTTTTGTTTTTTATTATTTATTTCTGCCTTTTTGTTGTTGTAGTTTTTTTCTTTTGTCCAATGAACCGAAGGTACCCACAGCTTCCCTCCCCCTTCCGGAGGAACTCTCTGTCCTTGTTTGTGAGTGTATGTATGTGTGTCCCTCTTTTTTTTCTCCTGCATTTATTTTGCGATGCTCAGTTGTTGTTGTTGTTGTTGTTGTTGTTTTTACTCTCTTTTTTTTTTTTTCTGTGCGGGTTCTTGTGGAATGGGAAGTGAGTGGTGTTCAATGAACATCGCGGCACTGCGTCCCGTGCCCTTCCTTCTCATGCAGCCATCACTCAAGCACAGTCACTGAGGGGTTAGGGAGGGAGGGAGGGGAGAATTTATTTATGTACATGCAGACATGACAGGTGGGGTTTTGTTTTTTCCGTGTGATTTGCGTCATTTTCTTCCATCATCATCAAATTGCCGCCTCCTTCTTTTCTTCCTGCCACCTCCGTCGCTGCTTCCTGGAAGGACCACCGCGGCACCTCTCACCGGCAGTCGGGGTGAAAAAAACGGACTTTGAATCCAGAGGGATTTCCGCCTTTATGTGTTTGCCGTTTCTCTCCTGTTGGTTTATTGTAGGCGGGGGCACTTTCATTTGTTTTTTTATTTTTCGCCCCCACCCCACACCGGCTGTGGGCACCAAAATGAGGGAAGTCAACGGCTTCACCAACATAACTCTTGAATTTACGTTTTGCAGAAAAAATGCAGCTGCTGAAGACTCCACGGGGAGTGCGTGCGGTGGCGGACAAGGCCAACCACCACTGCGCGGTGCAGCGCAACGTCGTTCAACCCCTGAAGCGGGGAATGACGAGAACAAAACCAGGCAGAGCTAGTGGAGATGCAGCGATTGGTGGATGCGTCAGCGACAGGGGCATGACGACTGACGCCCCAGTTGACGGGCGTAGTGACGTCTGTCGTGCTGAAGGATAAGTCGAGCGTCGGTAAGACCGCGACGATGGAGGCAAAGAAGGCCACTGAGGGACTGGCGCTTGGGATACTTGACGAAGGGGAATGAGGGGAATGAAGAGGAGGAGGAAGTTCTACTCCTACGGAAGGTCCGTGCGGACGCCAAGGCGCTTCAGGATGACATTTCCAAAACAATGCAGGAAGTGAACGCTCTGCAGGAGGAAGCGGGAGTGTTTAAATGCGCCGCCGAGGCCACTGGCAGGGGAAAAGGCATTTATGTTGCAGATGAACGCCAGCAAATAGTTGGGCCAACTGAAGGAAAAAAAAAAACGTAAAGGATTGCTGCACCGCCGTGTGTCTATTGTAACGTTTGCATCTTTGGGGAACTTTGACATGTGCACACACAGAAATACAAATATGCATACAAATTGCCTTCTCCACTTTGCCGCAGGGTTGTTTTTTTTTTTTTTGTTATTATTCTTTATTAATGACTTTTATATTTGTGCTTCTGTGGACGGGCGAACCTGAAGGAGATCCCCCGGTGGGTCCTCATTTCTTCCTCGCTAGACAACCGGAAATGCATGCATATAAACATGTAAACAATAAAGAAAAGGAGAAACTGGAAAAGTGAGACGGAGAGGGATAAAAAGGGGGCGGTGTCTTTTTTTTTCTTCTTGTTTGATTGATGTTTTTTTTTTCTGTGTGTTTCCTGCGCACATGCCCACGCACAATTCCCTACGTTACGATTTATCCCTCGTATTTTCCTTCCGGCTGCCACCGATGTTTTCTCTGCGCACTCAAAACAACAACAAAAAACAACGGTAAAAAACCACCGATATTCACAGAAGGCAATGGAGCGGGTGGTCCAAATCACGCGGGTGCAGGTGGGGCACGTTGTCGGCAGGGGCGGGGCGACAATCAAGGAGCTCCAATGCACGACAGGAGCGAGCGTTGAAATCATCGACGGCCCGAGCGTCCGTATCACGGGCGACAGTGAGGAAAAGGTGCTGGCGGCGCTGGAGCGGGTGCAGGCGATCGTCGCTTGCCAAAAGAACCCCGAATACGAGGGACCCGTCGGCGCAAAACTCCGCAGGGAGGCGGACGCGTTGGGTGCCAGACGCTCAAAACTGTTTGATGAGGCGACGGCAAGGCGCAACGAGGGTGATGCTCAGGCCGCACATAAACTTGTGGAGGAGGCGAAGGAAGTTGGAAGGCAAATGGAGGAAAAGAACAAGGAGGCAGCGGCGGCAATCGCGCACTACAACAACGAGGGCAAAGGCAAAGGGGACGACTACTTTGACATGCACGGCCTGCGAAAGGAGGAGGCTATGACGATGCTACAGTTCCGCATCCAGCGACTCCGGGCAAAACCCAGCGGAACCGTGACGGATTTTGAACTGATCACCGGCGCCGGTCACCACTCTGCGCCTGGGAAGAAGCAATTACTGAAAGCCGCAACAGTGGCATACCTCCAGGGAGAGGGTATTCCATTCACGGAGGTGTCGGCGGGTTCACTAATGGCAAATATCATCGGTACAGGAGAGGCAGCGGTGGCTGCGCCCACGGCTACAGCGATGGCTGCAGATGCGGCTGCGAAAAAGGACGAAAAGAAGGCTGCCGCGTCTGCTTCTGCATCAAAGCTGCAGCAGACGACGGAAAAGAGAAAGGAGAAAGGCAAGTGTGGCGGTCTCTGCACGGTGATGTAGGCATCACTGCTGCAGGCACCTCCCAGCGTTCTCTCTTCTTTGGATTTCCGCCGCCGCCGCCGCCGGTATATCTGTGTCTAAGAAAATGTTTTTCAATTTGATTTATAATATCTAGCCGGCCAAATCCTTTTCTGCTTTTGTGGGAGGGTGTGCGTCGCGTATCGAGTGGAAAAGAAGGTAGAAATGATGACATCAATGGAATATCAAAAGAAGGTGCGGGTTGGCGGCCGTGGTGTAGATAAAGGGTGACGCTGTCACTCTGTGTTGCCGTGCCGCCCGTTTGTCCGCCCACTTTGTTTTTATATTTGAAAATTGTCTGACTTGCACGCTTGGAAGACGCAATTGGCATTGAGGAACCGGATGATGCACTGTGAATGTCTTTCCTTCTTTTCTTGCTTATTTCTGTTTGTTTTTTGCGTTTAGTTCCCATGACAAACGTTGTTCTCCTGGACGATGCGCTGGTTGAGATGGAGGGGGACGCATGTCATCTTCTGTACCGCGAAGAGGACACCGGCGTCTGGAAAGTGGCGTTCGTGACACCACCGACTTTGGTCTCTTTGAGTGTGCAAGCTCCCCCTACTGCGATGGCTGCGGGTGACGCAAAGGCCGATGACGCCGATGAGGATGCACTGGAGTTCTTTAGCGATTAGGCGTCTCCTCCTCCTTTTCTTCTTCAGCACAATTCTCGTGCCAACAGCTCCGGTTACATGCGCGGACGCAGATGTTTTCTGTGAGGAGAAATTATCTTTGCATCTTTTTTTTATTTTCTTCCTTTTTTTGCTGTTTTTTTTTTTTTACTTGTCGAAGGGCGCCCTCTCACGGCTCTGGACGCATCATTTTTGCGGTGTCGTTGTGGGGCAAGAGCGGGTTGGCGACTGCGCTGTGGGGGAGTAAAAGTGGAGTGCGGAGACGGCTAAAAGGCCAAACGTTGCGCGGGCGGAGAACCACATGTGGCGTGCACGCATCGCGTGCAGCGGTTTCGTTTTATATTTTGCGAGGCGGTCTGTGGTGGTCCCGTCCAACACCGATGCGGAGAAATTATTTCAGCGCATTGTGCACCCCAATTATGACGAGGACACGAACCGTCGCCTCTCGGGCAGCATGCTTGTGAGCTGCGTTGCGGCAATTGAATTCAGACGGCAGCGAATGGAAGTGAAGGGGAAACTTGGCCCAATGGACGCCTTTCTGGGGAACGACATGTTGGAGTTCCTTGTGGCGCTTAGTAAAATGTGCGATCAACGAGGCTCCCTCGCCGTTGTAGAGGGCATTTGTTCCAACGTCCATGATGACTTGCAGGAAAGTAACCGCGTCGCATTTGCGGTAAAAACGCTATTGAACGCATTGGATATTCTTTGCAACTTCTCCAATGGCGCCCATCAACGGAGTTTTGCCGTTGATGCGGTCAAGTTGCTGCAGTTAGAGTTGAGTTTGCTGGAAGTTCTTGTGCGGGTGGAGGGCGGTGCTCACGGAAACGTGCAGGAAGCCTGCTACCACATGCAAAGGATGCAACATGTGCTGGAGAATAGGGGAATATACACTTTAAGTGCGGTGGAGCAGAGGCGATGGATGAAGAGAATGCGATGGCTTACTACTGTGACGTACTCGCATCTTAAAGACTGTTCCCATGAGGACGAGGAAGCATTCAAGCGCACCCTGCGTTCGTTGTACGGTGAGGAAGGGTCGTTTGGATACATCAAAAAGCTTCGTTATGCCGTCGGTGTTCTTCTGCCGTTTCTTCTGAAGAATGCTGCGACGATGATGAAAGGAAGGAAATGGCAAAGGAAGAGGAACGCAGCGTGTAAAGTTGGGGATAAATTGCCTCCACAAAAGTGACGGGAAGAAGAAGATTTGATTGGGGAAATGTCTGCAGCCACCAGCGTCGCCATGTTGTTGTGCTCTCCCTTTGTGCGGTTGTTGTAATCAATTGTGGGTTTTGCTTCAGCACCGTCCTTTTTGTTGTTGTTGTTATTTTGGCTTTACTGTTGCTTCTACACACATCCACTTATCTCCCTTTCTGTTTTTTTCTCTCCTCCAATTTTCTCCTTGTTATAACGGCCGCTATCATTGTTGTTGCACGGTTTGGTGCACACACAAAAAAAAAAAAATAGATATATACATAGGGTAAGTATCGTAAAGAGCGTGCGAATATGCCCTCTCGACGCCGCCGGCAACCCGCCTACGCCGCAGCGGAGCAAAGGAAGAAAACGGCAGAAATGCAGCAGCAGCCGGAAGCCGCTTCCTGCGAAGCAGGGGCGCCAGACGAGGCGAAGAAGACGGAGGCAGTGGCCCCTGAGGTCTCGCCCATGGCACCCATCCCCCCTCCCACCGCAGCACGCCAAGGGGGACAGGCGGCGGAGGTGCCGCCAACCGCAACGCCCACGTCTGTCGCTCCAACGGATGCGAAGCGGGCGGTGCTAACGAAAATGGTAACTAAACGTAAGCCAAAGATGGCATTTTTATTCGATAACGAGGAGACAAAGGGGGCGGAGCACAAGGAGGAACCGAGCGGGACGAAGGAGGCCGTTCCAAAGCGAAAACCAAAGCTTCCGTTTCTCTTCAATGAAGAAGGCACGCACGACGGAGCGGCGGCGCAGAAACAGCCACAGCCAGAGGTGCCGCAGGCGAACCCGGTTGTGGAAACCGCCCCGAAAACAAATACACGCATAGATGAAGTGAAAAAAGAAACCATAGAGAAAATAAGTGCGGAGGCTGACTGGAGCGGTGCTGCCCCGACACGGACGGTAGCAGCGACTTCCCCACGACAAAAAATGGCGATCTCCAAGAACGTGAAACTATACCGCAGGATGCGGAGGGAGCCCCATGAGGCAACGAACAACACCGCGGCGGTGGAAAAGGCAGAGGAGCGAAGCAATAACAGCGCCCCCACAAACTCTACAAATGTTCAGGTGGAGATGAAAAAGACGCAACAGCTACACACTGACGATGGAAAGGCGTCTCCACCTTTCACAGAGCCCACGGAGAAGACGCTGCACGAAAGCAGTGGAAAAGAACGGCATGAACACACCGCAGAGAAATTTTCTGAGGCCCCAAAGGAAGACGTCAAACGGAAACACACTGCCACGATGTCTAAACTAATGAGACACGGTCGCCACTTCCAAAACTGCAAAACAGCAGCGGACTCACCGTCGAACACGAGTGAAAACGCCCAAACTCAGACCAAAGAGGAGGTTGAAGTGCCAGAGGTCATTGAACCTGGGGCTACGTCCGAAATTGCACAGCGAACGCCAGTATGTAACGACCAGCCAAAATTACCACAGTCTTTGGATGGAATCCGAGCTGTTGAAAACTCGAAAACTGCAGAAATGCCTCGACACACAATCAAAAAACACGAAAAAAAAAAGACTAAAAAATCTTTAGTAAAGAGAAAGTTTATGAAAGAAATGGCAGAGAAACAAGCTGCAAGTAAGCAGGCTGAAGAAGAGGCAGCACGCAAGCAGGCGGAGGAGGAGGCAGCACGTAAGCAGGCGGAGGAAGAGGCAGCACGTAAGCAGGCTGAGGAAGAGGCTGCACGCAAGCAGGCTGAGGAGGAGGCCGCACGTAAACAGGCGGAGGAGGAGGCAGCACGCAAGCGGGCTGAGGAAGAGGCCGCACGCAAGCGGGCTGAGACGGCTGCACGCAAGAAGGCACGTGAAGAAGCTGAGCGAAAAAGGGCCGAAGACGAGGCCGCACGGAAAAGAGCTCGAAGAGAAGCGCGGGAAAGGGCAAAGGAAATTGTGAAGCAGAGGCGAGCTAAGGAAGAGGCCGCACGTAAACAGGCGGAGGAAGAGGCCGCACGTAAGCAGGCGGAGGAGGAGGCCGCACGTAAACAGGCGGAGGAAGAGGCCGCACGTAAGCAGGCTGAAGAGGAGGCCGCACGCAAGCAGGCTGAGGAAGAGGCTGCACGCAAGCAGGCGGAGGAGGAGGCCGCACGCAAGCAGGCTGAGGAAGAGGCTGCACGCAAGCGGGCTGAGGAGGCTGCACGCAAGAAGGCACGTGAAGAAGCTGAGCGAAAAAGGGCCGAAGACGAGGCCGCACTGAAAAGAGCTCGAAGAGAAGCGCGGGAAAGGGCAAAGGAAATTGTGAAGCAGAGGCGAGCTAAGGAAGAGGCCGCACGTAAACAGGCGGAGGAGGAGGCCGCACGCAAGCAGGCTGAAGAGGAGGCTGCACGTAAGCGGGCTGAGGAAGAGGCAGCACGTAAGCAGGCGGAGGAAGAGGCCGCACGCAAGCAGGCTGAAGAGGCCGCACGTAAGCAGGCTGAGGAAGAGGCTGCACGCAAGCAGGCGGAGGAAGAGGCCGCACGTAAGCAGGCGGAGGAGGAGGCCGCACGTAAGCAGGCTGAAGAGGAGACCGCACGCAAGCAGGCTGAGGAAGAGGCTGCACGCAAGCGGGCTGAGGAGGCTGCACGCAAGAAGGCACGTGAAGAAGCTGAGCGAAAAAGGGCCGAAGACGAGGCCGCACGGAAAAGAGCTCGAAGAGAAGCGCGGGAAAGGGCAAAGGAAATTGTGAAGCAGAGGCGAGCTAAGGAAGAGGCCGCACGTAAACAGGCGGAGGAGGAGGCCGCACGCAAGCAGGCTGAAGAGGAGGCTGCACGTAAGCGGGCTGAGGAAGAGGCAGCACGTAAGCAGGCGGAGGAAGAGGCCGCACGCAAGCAGGCTGAAGAGGCCGCACGTAAACAGGCTGAGGAAGAGGCCGCACGTAAGCAGGCGGAGGAGGAGGCCGCACGTAAACAGGCGGAGGAAGAGGCCGCACGTAAGCAGGCTGAAGAGGAGGCCGCACGCAAGCAGGCTGAGGAAGAGGCTGCACGCAAGCAGGCGGAGGAGGAGGCCGCACGCAAGCAGGCTGAGGAAGAGGCTGCACGCAAGCGGGCTGAGGAGGCTGCACGCAAGAAGGCACGTGAAGAAGCTGAGCGAAAAAGGGCCGAAGACGAGGCCGCACGGAAAAGAGCTCGAAGAGAAGCGCGGGAAAGGGCAAAGGAAATTGTGAAGCAGAGGCGAGCTAAGGAAGAGGCCGCACGTAAACAGGCGGAGGAGGAGGCCGCACGCAAGCAGGCTGAAGAGGAGGCTGCACGTAAGCGGGCTGAGGAAGAGGCAGCACGTAAGCAGGCGGAGGAAGAGGCCGCACGCAAGCAGGCTGAAGAGGCCGCACGTAAACAGGCTGAGGAAGAGGCTGCACGCAAGCAGGCGGAGGAGGAGGCAGCACGCAAGCAGGCGGAGGAAGAGGCAGCACGTAAGCAGGCGGAGGAAGAGGCCGCACGCAAGCAGGCTGAAGAGGCTGCACGTAAGCGGGCTGAAGAAGAGGCAGCACGCAAGCAGGCGGAGGAGGAGGCTGCACGCAAGCAGGCTGAGGAAGAGGCTGCACGCAAGCGGGCTGAAGAGGAGGCCGCACGTAAGCAGGCTGAGGAGGAGGCTGCACGTAAGCAGGCGGAGGAGGAGGCAGCACGCACGAGGGCGGAAGTTCAGGAAGAGAAGGCTGAACTTAGCGTGAAGGAGCGACGGAAGTTGGCAAAGAAGAAGATAGAGCGTTATCGAAAGAAGGCTGCGATGCGTCAGTCGAATCCCGTTACTGACAAGACTGTTGTGGCGGCTGCAGTCGCTCAAGAAGTTATGGATGTCCCGCTTGTGAGCGTGCATGCTTGTGGAGCTAGTTCGGCTAGCGATGCCTCTGCAGCCGTCCCCTCCGAGTCGAAACTCCTGGCGGAGGCCCTGGAATTTCCGAACAGCAGCGTGACCATAGATCGCTTTGACGACAATGAACTGGTTGCGCGGCGGCGCAGTACCGATGACGCGTGGGAGATTGGGTTGCGCTTTGATTGGACCATCAAAACCTTGGCGATTGGTTCGATGCCATCGTTCAGTTTGACTGACCCACGGAGGCTGCACCCGTTTATGCAACGGTACCAGTCGCGGCCGGTGTGGTTCCTTGAGGAGGTCAACGGTGCCAAAGCAAATAATATCCGTGAGGTGATGGATATCCTTAAAAAGAGCCTCACGGCTCGTTTTGTTTTCAGAAAATGATCCAAAAACATATAATATATAAGCAACACTGGGAGAAAGGCGTATCATTTCACTTTGTCGTTTATGTGTGTGTTGTGTGTTGTGTGTGAATTAACGCATTGCATGTTTTTTTATTTTATTTGGACCATAGAGATATTCTTGTTTGGCTTTGCATCCACCCACCCGTGTGTGTGTGTGTGTGTTTGTATTCCTGTATTTGTGCGGGCTTTTTTCCCTTGGAAAGGGGCGGCGGTGTTCACTCGTGCAGGGTGTGGCACACGGGAAACATATATATAGGAAGAGAGTGTGGAAGGGGTTAGGGTCTGTTTTTACTCCGTGGACGCCTACATGCAGGCAAATAAATACATACATTGCAACCTGCCATCAAGAAAATAAAGAAAAAGAGTGTTGGAGAAGACTTGTTGAATTGCCTCCAGTCGTACGTGACGCCATCTCTTCTTCGTTGTGCCTGCACATTATTTTATTTTATTTTTTATTTTTATTTATCTCATTAATTGTTGGAGGGCTCTCTTGCCATTTCCACCTCCACCTTCATCTTCTTCTCACTTATGCAGCGCACATATTTGATTTCCCTTTTGTTGTGCAGTTGTCAGGACGCATCCCATCTGGGGGGAGAAGTGCGGTCCCTGACGGCCCTATCAAACCGCCCTTACGGTTCCCTTTCCTTCCTTCTGCTTCCTGGAAACATATCAACAGTCTTCAAGTGAGACCAATAGAGAAAAAGGCAGTGTGGGTGACGAAGAGTAATTGGTGACTAGAAAACACAATAGACTCACCTCGATGCGCTCGACAACTCCACCGCTGTATTACAAACGCCCCGAAGGCGTCCCTCTGCCGTACTGCACTGCTGCCGGTCCGGCAATAGAAGTGCCCCCCTCACTGCGCGTTCCACCAGCAACAACAGCAAACAATTGGGGTTACCCCACGGCACCTAACGCCGCCCGCGTTGGTTCTGTTGAGTATACAACATATGGGACTATACCCTCCTTTACCAATACGGTTCCTTCAGTGCCAGCTGTGGCCAATCCATTTAACCCTACTAATCCATCGCCACGAACCTCTCTGGCAGCCGATAACCCGGCAGACCTTATTCAACAAAGCGCGGCTCGCTGGAGCACAACGGCGAACCAAAGCGCCCAAGCACTCTCAGCGTTAGAGGCGGAAGAGGCATCAATTTTGTTGGAGGAGCAAGCTATGAAGGCGAAACTGGCGGAATTGCAGTTAACGCGACAGCGCCAAAGTGAAGGGCAGCTTGACCTCAGCCATGGATGGGCAGCGTTGCTTGACCGCGAAGAACGCTACTTCACGGAGCCCCTTGTGGACCTCTCGGAGGAGATAATGGCGAGAGAACATCAATGCGCTCTCCTGCGGGACCAACTTCAGCAAGCAGAGGCGCACCTGGAGGCCCTTCGTCGCGAGCACCAGGAATACGACACCGTTGTGGAAGAGAAGAATAAGTTGGAAGCGGAGATGCTGCGTGTGCGGGAGGGATTTCTGGAGATTGAGGGGCGTCGCAAGGCTTGCAGGATGCGGGCAGAGTTATTGTTTGATGTAGAGTCGAGGCGCGCAGTGAAGGCTTCACACCATGTGCGGGAGCTAGACGTGCAGCTGAAAGAAATGACTTCAGTTGGTCCATTGTCGGAGCTGCAGTCGGCTCCCCCGTCGCGGTCCGCATCACGCGGGGTCACGTTCGCACCGAAGGTCATGCATCTTCACGTTGGGTCCCACGCCAAAGGAGAACAGGAAGAGGAGGAAGCGGATGATGAAGATGCCGGACTCACGCAGGGATTTGGCGGCACGTCAGTGTGCCTGCAGAACGATGGAGATGACGATGATGTGGGTGGCATTGGCGGGCGGAGTGTCGCCTACTCCCTCAGCGTCGTCCCCAAGAGGCAACGGGTTGAGGTACCAACGGCCTGATGTTTTCCGCGGCCCGTGGTGGGATGCTCTTTTATTGTCATCTATTATTATTGGCTGTTTTTTTAGATTTCTGATTTTAACCGTTTTTTGTTGTTGTTGTTGTTGTTGTTTTTATTGTTGTTAGAGGCACACGATTTATGTTATTTGCTTTTAGATACCCCCGTTGACCCTCTCATTGTAGTTGTCTTTGCTGCTGTTTTTGTTTTTTCGCTTCTGTAGAGAAATATGGCGGAGGTGTCCCCTGAGACCTCCACCAGAGAGAGAAGGGCGAAAAAAAGGAAAAAGAAAATGCGAAGAAAATTACAGTGCGATGCAATATTTATTTTTCATCGCGTGCATATTTGGGTGAGTGGGCGTATGCCATGTGGCGTTGTTGTTGTTGCCCATGGCCCACGTGCAACAAGAGGTGCACTGGTACAATCTGCATGCCCAAATAGACACGCCACAGTCCCTCAATTAAATTTCGCTGTGTATCGATATTCCTTTTTTCTTTTCTTGTTGTTCCTGTTGGTTTGTTTTACTTTACATTTTAATATTTTCCTTTTCTCTTTCTTTTTTATTTATTTATTTTTTTTTGTGTGTGTGTTTATGTGAAGATTGTGCGTCTTTCTTGTGTGTTTGTGCGTGTTATATTTGTGAGGCGAGGGTTAAAAGGGGGGAAGCCATGCGGTGGCTCGGTCAGTTGGATGTCTTCCCAAAGTTCGACACGAAATTTGAACAGGACGCGCGGCAACGAACGGCGGTTGGCGGCATCTTTTCGCTGATCTCACTCCTTATCATTGCGGTCCTTGTCATTGGGGAGGTACGGTACTTTTTCTCCACCATCGAGCAGCACGAGATGTACGTTGACCCAGACCTTGGCGGCACGATGGAGATCACCGTGAACATCACGTTCCCGCGTGTGCCGTGCGATCTCATCACCGCAGATGCCATTGACGCCTTTGGCACATTTGCGGAAGGGGTGGAGCGCGACACCGTCAAGTCTCGTGTAGCTGCCTCAACGCTGGAGAAAATCAGCGAGGCACGTCCGCTAGTGGATGAGAAGAAGAAAATAACAAAAGCCCTTGACCCCAGCGGCGCGGAGAAGGAAAACTGCCCGAGTTGCTACGGAGCGGAGCCGGAGCCGGGGGCTTGCTGCCACACCTGTGAAGATGTTCGCCGCGCGTATTCCCTGCGGAGGTGGGTATTTAATGAGGATGACATCAGCGTCGAGCAGTGTGCGGAGGAACGCCTACGGAAAGCGGCTACTTTGAGTAGCCAGGAGGGGTGCAATTTGTTTGTTAATTACAAAGTTGCACGGGTGACTGGAAACATCCATTTCGTGCCGGGACGCATGTTCAACTTGATGGGCCAACACCTGCATGACTTAGAGGGAAAACGGTGCGACAGCTGAATCTCAGTCATATTGTGCACACCCTCTGCTTTGGTGAGCGATTCCCCGGGCAGGTGAATCCAATGGACGGCCTAGTGAACTCACGGGGCGCCGTTGACGCAACGGAGGAGGTAAACGGTCGCTTTAGTTACTTTGTGAAGGTCGTCCCGACGCAGTACCAATCGGCCTCCATTCTTGGCGTTGGCAGTGTGGTGGAGTCCAACCAGTACTCCGTCACACATCATTTTACCCCCAGCCCGAGCGCGGAGTTGAGTGCGGCGGCAGCAGAGTCATCCCCAGTGATGGTGCCAGGAGTGTTCATAACGTATGATTTGTCACCCATTAAAGTTTTTGTGATTGAGAAGCACCCGTACTCTTCGGTGCTGCATCTTGTGCTGCAGCTCTGCGCGGTGGGGGGCGGGGTGTTCACTGTGGCCGGCCTGGTGGACTCCGTCATCTTCCACGGCGTCCGCCGCGTGCAGCGAAAGATGCAGCAGGGAAAACAGTCCTGAGTGTTTTTGTTGTTGTTGTTGTTATTATTATTATTGCTACGCATTCATGTATTCATGCGGTCGCACATTAAAATAGGTATACACGTCCAAGAAGCGTCTGCTCGGAACCGCACTTTGGTGCCGACTCTGCAAGGAAGGAAATAACAAAGAAGAAGTTACAACGAAAACCAAAACGAATAATAATGATAATAATTTGTCTGTGACTTCCACTTGAACACGGATCAGGTGATTCTCTATTGCTTTTGTCTTTGCTTTTTTCCTTCCTTTTCCTTTCAACATGAAGGCCCGTCACTCAATAGTCGGTTTTAAATATTCATTTGATTCTCCGCAGCTCCCTACCACGTAGGTGTGTTCTTCGTGCCCTTCTTGCATATGAGGCGACTTGTCACGCAGTGCCCCCACGCGCCTCGCTGCACAGCACATGCTTCTGTGGTCATCGTCTGGCTTCTCGCACTTTTCCTTTACGGCCCCTACGGTGCGGTAGGGTTTGGGACGAAGATTGACGCGGAAGATCGCGAGTGTTTTGTCGAGTCCCTTGCGGCCGGGGGATCTCTCGCGTTTACATTTCGCGTGACAGACGGCGGCTCCTTCGATATCGATGCCGTCATGTACGCCACAACGGTAGCCCCACTGAACAGCGTGGAAGAGACAACACGGTTGCACTACAGTGAGGCTCTCATAAAGATGCGGGAAAACACAACAACAGTCATTGTGAACGAGTGGAGACGGGCAAACGAGGGCAGCCAGTCGTACACCGCCCCCAGCGCGGCGGAGACGAAACACGGGCTGCCGGCGGAGATAACCGTGTGCTTCGACAACTCGTTTTCGAGGCTGTCGCCGAAGTGGCTGCTGTTTCAGTTCCTGAAGCGCGACGTGCCTGAGGTGGACCCCGAGAGCACCACCCGGGCTGAGGCGGAGATCGAGACCAAACTCCATAAGCATGGAACGGTGCTGTTCGAATTGGCCACCGCGGCCGAACGGATGCGGCAAATGGGGGAGTCAAACCGCGTGAGGTACGAGTCACTTGCCAGCATCGTCATGGTTGGATTGGTAGGGAACATTGTCATTCTGGCCCTCATGGCAGTGTATCAATACATGACTCTCACCCGCTTCCTTATCCGCCGCCGCGCAAAGTGAGGAATAGGAAGTGAAGAAATGCCTGTTTCTTCATTATAAATTATATTGTTCGCAATTTT